AAGCCATTGCATGCTTGCTTTATCTTTTGTCTTCACAACGTGAATGTATGATCAGTTTGGCTTCACAACTTCTTCCTACCTGATCGTTATTACACTAAAGCTGTTTGTCATTGTGCTTTCACTCTATTGAATACATGACCATGGCTGGTCTAGTGTAATCTAACTTCCGCTGCATAGTAATAGGCATAATCTTCGCTGTTTGTCTTCATAACTCTCACGTTTTGAAGACTTTCATAAAAATCGCCTATTCACCCCCCCTCTAGTCGATATAACGCACTTTCAAGCGCTTCCGCAGTCGGTCTGCGTTGGGTACGTAGACAACACTCTCCCCTCTCGTTGCTATGCATCACATGATCTTGCGTGTGCGTAGGATTTTTTTTGAAATTACTACAAAACCCATCGGAGGCATACTAGGGACACTCTGTTCGTCTATGTATTCACACATGTACTAAGTTTCCGTAATACAATTCTAGCATGAATAATAAACATTTATCATGATATAAGGAAATATAAATAACAACTTTATTATTGCCTCTAGGGCATATTTCCTTCAGTTTAGATGCTAGAGCTATCATGCATGAACCAATAAGACAACATTTGTTGAGAGCTCACCAATGTCAAAAGACCCAGGTTGACAAACAGAGAGCTGAACGCAGTTTTGCTATTGGAGATAAGGTCTTTGTAAAAATGCAACCTTATGTTCAATCATTTGTGGTTCATCGTGTAAATCATAAACTTGCATTCAAATTTCATGGTCTGTATTTGACTATTGCCACGATTGGTGACATTGCTTACATGCTGGAATTACCAGATTCTAGCAGAATACATCCAGACTTTCATGTTCTCCAATTGGAGAAGTATATTCTACTTGTGACTCAAGTTCAGACATCTTTACCTCATGTTGATGATGAATTTCAAATTCCTCTCAAATTTCTCCGTCGCAGGGTTCATCATGTGGGCTCGAAGACTATTCCTCGGGTTCTTGTTGAGTGGTCTTGTTCTCCTTCTGCTGATGTAAGACGAGGATTCATTGAAGGAAACATTTCCTTGTTCTATGGCTTGGAGACAAGCCACTTCTCAAGAACCATGGGGTGTGAGCACTCCTCAATCTACGACTACGAAGAATGACAACACTAAAGGCGCGGGAATTGAAGAGGCAGGCCGGCCCACTAGGGGAAAAGGATCGCCTCATTGGCCCGCTGACAAGAATTGGGCCAAACAGGTCTCGTAAAGTACATGTATAAATATTCCGCTTCCTTCTTCCTCTATCGCTAGCTAGCAACAAATTGGCTTCGGGCGGATGGTTGAACTCGCTATGAGGGTGGATGAGTGGTTTTACACAACAGATAACTAATTCCCCATTCCTCTTGCTCCCTAGCAACCCAAGATCGATCGTGAGTGCAAGGGGAGGCGCTTACAATGGTGATGGAGAGGACGACAATGGACGATGGCAAACGAGTAGGTGGTTCCCTTCGAGGGGTGTGGAAAGAGGAGGGGAGAGATGAGTGAGTCGGTAGGACAATACATGAGCCGACTGATCCTTCCTAGGGATCATCGTGTTGATGCCTAGTAGGTGCCGTTTTTTCAACCATACTTAGAGAACGGTGAATAATTGAATCCAATCAGAAGGGTGATAGTGTTATCTGCAGGAAGAAGCCCGATCAAAGTGAGATACCAGTAAAACAAGGCCATGATCTATAAAAAGTACTAGCATAGTATTACACACCATACTAACCACTCAGACACAAGTCTCTCATGAGAAAAAGATGGTTAGGAGTATTGTTGTACTCCAACTCACCAAAAATTAAAATGTATTTGTTGATGCATTGTGTTTTTTCAGTTGTGTGTGATGTTTTCGTCGATAGTGACACACATGTGGTGACTTTATCAATTTTGAACTCCATGACTCCGGTTTTCTGATGCATCTTTCTTTCCCATGCAGGAGCCGGGATGTCCTCCTTTTCCAAAAAACGACTCTGGTTTTCAGCATGCACCATGAGTGTGTGCGTACGTGACAGTGTGTGTGCATGTTTACCTACATCGTACTTTTTTGTTTCTCAACAATTTTCTCTTACCGTTTCCTCACTGATACAGTAGTACAAGAAACATGTCCTACTACCAAACTAGGAACAGGATTCCTCAATTTCCCATCTTTGCTCTTAATCTGCTTTCGTCTCCCTTTTGGCTAAAAAGCAAATCCCACCCAAAAGCTGCACAATATCCATCCATCCATCCACAAACGAAACCACCCCAACCCACAGTGACCAGCACGGCGTAGGCAATAACCACTTAACTGACCTTGTGACACATGAGCTCAGCTCAGCCGGCTCGTCCCAGTTCCTACCCCCGCGGCGCACCACCGACACTCCCTCGCCCGACCCCATCCGATCTCACCCCCGCCCGACAAATCATGGCGCCGCTTTGCACTGTTAAATCCAATCCCCGCCCCCCTTTACTTATCACCACGCTGCTGTGCCCTATTCTACTCATTTTACACTCCTTGGAAACGGAATCCATGGCGCATAGTAAGTCCACACAAAACCCTACATGTGCAGCTGCGCCTCGCGCCCCTTTTATAAAACCCCGCACACACTCGCACACACCACTCCATCCCCCAAAGCAGCTCCCCCCACAGTCCCAGCTCGCTCCACACTGGCCAGCCCGCAGCCCCTGGCACACGCTAGCTTGCTCTAGCTAAGCTAGCTAGCAGGGCCTCGCGCGTGGCATTACCTCGTCCCGGCCGCCGGCGAGGAGGTCTAGCGTAGCCAAGGGCAAGGCGAGCGAGCGAGCGATGGACGCGGCGGTGGGGCTGCCGGACGCGTGGTCGCAGGTGCGGGCGCCGGTGATCGTGCCGCTGCTGAAGCTGGCGGTGGCGCTGTGCCTGCTCATGTCGGTGCTGCTCTTCCTGGAGCGGCTCTACATGGCGGTGGTCATCGTCGGGGTGAAGCTGCTCGGCCGCCGGCCGGAGCGCCGGTACAAATGCGACCCCATCTGCGAGGACGACGACCCCGAGCTCGGCAGCGCCGCCTTCCCCGTCGTGCTCGTCCAGATCCCCATGTTCAACGAGCGGGAGGTACCACATTTTCCTTCCGCCCCATCGCCATTGCCGCCACAAGCTCCAGCTCCACTTCCCTCTCTGTTCCTCTCACCCATTGGTTTCTTCTTGCATTTAACATTTTTTTCATATTTTGTGCGTGATAATACGTGCAGGTGTATCAGCTGTCGATCGGCGCGGTGTGCGGGCTGTCGTGGCCGTCGGATCGGCTGGTGGTGCAGGTGCTGGACGATTCCACGGACCCCCTCGTCAAGGTGAGGAAGATCTTATCCCCCGGCCGCTCTCGGGTCGAACAGTACAAGTAGTGGTGCCAGTGGTAGTAGTACTGGCCTGGTAATTATGGAGGCTCATGTTCACCTGTCGGTGACTACGCCCCCTGCCACCCCCCACCCCCAAACTATCCATGGTCCGTCCACCCGAACCTCGAAGCTCCCGGGATTCCCTCTCACTCCACCGTCCCCTTTTCCATTTTTCCCAAAGGGAAAAGCCGTGACACCCGGGGCGCTCGCTGCAGTGCCAGGCTCCGACCGGCCTTGTCTTTTAGACACGTCGCCTGGCCTGGGTACTGCCTCGCGGTCGCCGTCACGGCACAGGGCTTCCCCCTGTTTATAATTAAGAGCAAGGAGCCACTCCCCAGCTCCCAGCGAGATTTGGCCATTAGTTACTAGTAATAACTCTCAGCTTCACCTAGCAAATCTAACCATGTGCGGCACACGCTGTGTAACTAAAAATCTGAAATGTTTTTCTATTTAACATTTGTGCCTAGTCAATTCAGACTCGTGTTGAGGAGTAGGAGTAGTAGTAGTTGACACGCCTGCGCTTGTCGGTGCCCAAACTGATGGTGTGTCCTGTGTGTGCGGTTACACGGCTGTCTCGCCGTTTCCGTAATCGGAAAAAAGGGCGGCGAAGATCAAAACCGTTTTCCATTTTTGTCTGCCCTCCAAACTGGGATTCACATTGGCGGGTCGTGATAATCCACGAACAAGAGCCGAAAAAAATCTGGGCATCTTTCGCGCGCGAAGGAACGGCTCCCGATGATTTTGGCGGGGCGGGCTATGCTGTGCTACTAGCAAGGACGCTGCGCGCGGTCCGGTGTCGTTAATTGGAGATCGGACGGGCATTAAATGCCCCCAACGGTTTGACCGACGGGCCACAAGTGGCGATTACCCTAGTATCTTTTACGCGCCGGATCAACCAGAGCTGGCACTTGTCAGAATATTTTCTTTTCTTTCTTTTACTATTACGGCCTTCCTTCCAAGAGGTAAAAAATAATATAAAATAAAATAAATGGGGGGAAAGCAAGGCAAAAACCCCTGCGCGGTTATTCCCCTGGAAAAGCACGTGCTGGGCACGTGACGGGGCACGCCGTTAAATGTGTAATCAAGTCGCCACCGTAGTTGTACGTGATCCTCGCGATCGGCAGACAGTAATTAAGCTTGGGGTACGTAGGCCGTGGCAAGGCATGCTTGGCTGGTGCGTACGGGGCCCTGTCGTCGGTTCTCATTACTCATTAGTTTAGGCCATGGTCAGCCCTTGCTTGGCCCAGCCTAGGACGTTGATTGTAATCCACGTTTGGTTCTACTACTACGCCACTAGCCCTTCCCGGCTTGGTCCTGGTTTACTAGGTGTCCACTATGTGTAAACCATGTGTTTTGTACAATGTAGTAATGGCATCCAGAGATGGCATTACATGGTTTGCAGCTTAGTCGTCGTTTCCAAGCTTAGAAAGATGCCAACAGTATTATGATCTTAATAGTATTGGTTATGGTACTTGTCCCTCCAAAAGGAGGATACCATGATTGGAGCCCAATATCTCCATGAGAGCCGTGGGCATTTTAATTTACGTCCCACCCAATAATTGCCTACTCGTTGTGAATGTGAATTGTGAAACGTGCCTGTCAATCAACGGCGGCTAATCATCATGTGTGCTTGGCCCGTGCAGGAAATGGTTCGGATGGAGTGCGAGCGGTGGGCGCACAAGGGGATCAACATCACGTACCAGATCCGGGAGGACCGCAAGGGGTACAAGGCCGGCGCGCTCAAGGCCGGGATGAAGCACGGGTACGTGCGCGAGTGCGAGTACATGGTCATCTTCGACGCCGACTTCCAGCCGGACCCCGACTTCCTGCACCGCACCATCCCCTACCTCCACCACAACCCGGAGATCGCCCTCGTCCAGGCGCGATGGCGCTTCGGTAAGTTTTCACCAAAAAGAATCATTACTTCAGTTCAGTTCCTCAAAATTTGCGAGTTCAGTTTCAGCGGCGTGCCTTAGGGGACACAAAAGTAGGAAATTTTGGCATCTTGTACTGTATGTAGGCTAGAATAATCAATCAAGAGAACGAAAGGAAGAAAAAGACAGAGGCCACCGTGCTTCAAAGGTTTCACCGCGGTTCAGTCTAGGAATCAGGATCGGCGGCCAGTTTCCCTGTTTGGAAGCAAGCCTAGGATGCGTCCAAGCCCAACTAACTCTTCTTCCAACCGTGCTGTCTCGCCCGAAGGCCACTGCGAGGATGTAGCTGGACACCTGAAGGAAGATCCAAGTTTCCTCTTAGCGCTAAAATAAAATAAAATAATAATGCCTGGAGAGCGTTTTGCCTCATGGGGGATCAGCTAGCTCGTGGTGGTGCTAGTACGCTCTGCTAGATCTGGCGGGTCGGTTGCGTACCGTGGCGCCATGGTACGGTACGGTTGGGAGGGATGGCAAGTTAAGTCCTTGCGGGAGGGACGGCACGTCCCCGTGGCCGCCACTGTTGCGTGCGGCGCGTCTCGTGCCTGGGTATGCATCCCTTCCCTGGGGCGGCGGGCTGTCGGTCGGCCGGAGTTCACTCCGGCCCGGCTCCTCGCCGATCCGATCGCACGATCTAAACGAGGGAGACCCCCTCGGCCGTCGACTCGTCGTCGGTGGCGCCGTCGGTGATCCGAATAGTGCTGCGTGGCGTCCGCTCGTCAGGCTCTCTGCGCTTTTCCCGGTTAGCAGCGTGGGCCATGGGACAGATCTTCGGGCGCCCACGTGGTGCGGCCCGCCTCTACAAGGCCCGCGGGCCCGCCGTCGGTGACCGGCGTGGGCCACGTCGGCCATGGCTTCTTGTCACTACCGCATCCAGTTGCGGTGCAGGCAGGGCGTGCCTTGTCCTGGCGCCCGAGATTTGTCCTCGCAGACAGCAATAGAAATTGCCACGGAAGAGATAAGCATATTGGTACTCAACTCAATACTACTAGCTCATAACTCGTCAGTACTGAAGTGCGGCATCTGAGATTCTCGGTGTGTGTTTAGATCATCATTGCATGATGCCATGCCATGCCACCAGCTCGCGTCCTAGATTCACCTTTGCCGTCGTGGGGCGCGGCCAGACAGATTAGCGCGGGGTGGCGCCGGCTTGAATCGTGCCGTGATCCCGTGATGTGTCTGCAAAGACTGCAGGGTCCGCCCTATAAAGCTCCAAGATTTGCGAGTGCTCCCTACGGCTAACCTCCAAGATTTACTTTTTATTGGGCCGTGTCAGTGCAGTGCGCCCACATCCTCTGCTCGGTCCAACTGTACTGTACGGGTGAAGCAACCGAACAAAACCAACCTGTTATTCCCCACACAAAACGGAACCAAGCATGCTCATGCTCAATGTGTTTGATGCTGCTAACAGTAAAAAGAAGGCGAGCGACTGTGTGGCTATGTAGTACTGTGAAAAGTCAAGGGTAATAGTGAAAAGTTGGCCTGACGGTAACTTTGAGCTGTACATTTTTTTTCACCGGTGACAATCATGCTGGGGAGGGATGCTGATGAGTGTGCTGTTGTTGGTTGTGATCAGTGAACGCGGATGAATGCCTGATGACGAGGATGCAGGAGATGTCCTTGGATTACCACTTCAAAGTGGAGCAGGAAGTGAGCTCCTCCGTCTGCGCCTTCTTCGGCTTCAACGGTGAGATTCAGTCCGGTCTTCCAATGTCCTTTCGGATGATTTTATTCGACATTGGTACCAATTTATCCATGGCATCTGTCTAACAATCTCAATGATTTCTTCTACCAGGAACCGCCGGTGTGTGGCGCATTGCTGCAGTGAATGAAGCAGGGGGCTGGAAGGACAGGACCACCGTGGAGGACATGGATCTAGCTATCCGGGCCAGCCTCAAGGGATGGAAGTTTGTCTACCTCGGCGATGTTCAGGTACATTGATCAATCATGCAAACCATCAGATTCAGATAACATACAGCGCACATCCTTTGGCTTTTCTCTTTCAATACCACGTTCCTATTTTTTTTTAAATGAGACAGTAGTAAAAGGAATTTGACAGTGAAAAATTGGAGTTAACGAAAATTCTGCAATGTTTCTCAGGTTAAGAGTGAACTCCCCAGCACTTTCAAAGCCTTCCGGTTTCAGCAGCACAGATGGTCATGTGGTCCAGCAAACCTGTTCAGGAAGATGCTGGTGGAGATTGTGACAAATAAGGTCTGCCCCAGCACCCATCAAGTCCAATTCTGTTTTAAGACAACACCTTAACTATGTTGCTAACTCAGATGCTATTGATCTTGTGTGTGTGTGTGCAGAAAGTGACAATCTGGAAGAAGTTTCATGTCATCTACAATTTCTTCTTGGTGCGCAAGATCGTTGCCCACATTGTGACATTCACCTTCTACTGCATCATCATCCCGACAACCATCTTTGTCCCTGAGGTTCATATACCGAAGTGGGGTTGCGTCTACATTCCCACAATCATCACTCTTCTCAACTCTGTTGGAACTCCCAGGTAATTATATTATAGCCTGTAAAGAGCTCACATTCACATAAAAATATAATAAGCAAGTAATGATCGTTCAATTATAATTAGTATTTGATCAAATTGTGTGTTTACCTGACGAAAATGCACCAATTTTGGCAGGTCTTTTCACTTGCTTTTCTTCTGGATCCTCTTCGAAAACGTCATGTCGCTGCATAGAACCAAGGCCACATTGATTGGCTTGTTAGAGGCAGGCAGGGCGAATGAATGGGTCGTCACGGAGAAGCTCGGCAGCGCCATGAAGATGAAATCTGCTAACAAAGCATCAGCCAGGAAGTCATTCATGAGGATGTGGGAGAGGTACTGAACAAACAAGACAAAATGCACACATTTGCCACCTTTTTTGCCTCAGCCCTTCGGTAACTAACTTTCAGAGATGAAAATTTTCAGGCTAAACGTTCCGGAGCTCGGCGTGGGAGCCTTCCTCTTCTCATGTGGGTGGTACGATGTCGCGTTCGGGAAGGACAATTTCTTCATATACCTTTTCTTCCAGTCGATGGCTTTCTTCGTCGTCGGGGTTGGCTACGTCGGCACAATCGTCCCTCAGTCATAACTGAAAGAACGTCGGGATCATCTCGCTCAGCAGTTCACAGTTCCCTGAGAAATCAGCAAAAGTTAGTTGGCCGTGCATAGCCAGTTCAAAAGTAAAGATCACGCAGTCGTCTCTGGGTTTCTCTCTGTTTTCCTTCCTCCTTGGAGACTGATAGTATTGCAGCATTCCCTTGAATGTGCTATTGTAAAAGAAAGCGAGGTGCAGTGTAAGGTCACTGCATATGTATTTGTGGTGTTCTCTTTTTGCTTGTAGCGAGTACGTCCCCGTGGTTATGGGGAGCAGGATGTCTGCTTCCAAGTCGAATGTAATACTAATAGTATAAGAAAGGAAAAAGGTTCAGGAATGTGTGAGCAAGATCAGATTGTTCGGATTTTTCCGTGTGCTGCCTTCAGAATTTTAAGTGTGCAGTGTGCTAGATGAAACATTGTTCCCCAGGTAGGATCAGTCGACACATGTTGAAGCAGAAGAGAAGACACGCCACTGCTCCAGGGAAAAAAAAAACCCATCAAACCAACTAAACAAACTGGTATTCAGAATAACTTTAAACATCTATCCTGAGTTGCGTAGGTCTTCATCCTCGTGATATGCAGCAAAAAGCATCACTAAGAAACAACGGTCGAACAGTTTTTTTTTCAGTGGTTTTTTTTTTTGGAGAATCACCGGAGGAGGAGTCCCTCCACCTGAATATATTACTTAAAGTGGCCAATATGCCAGGAGAGTGATCCAGTTTATAAGGAAAACCGGATCGAAAACCTAAAACAAGTTGACCCGTTTATAAGGAAAACCGGGCCGAAAACCGTACAACAAGGTTACAAGGAGAAGAGAAGAGAAGACACCCAACAAGGGCGGGACCTAGCTAGCAGACTAAAAGGACCATCACCACGTCAGACACAAGTAGTAATGGGGTGTTGTCGAGGGATCACAATACTGAGACTTTGCGAGGAACCTAACGCACCGCATTGCGTGCATAACGAGCCCCACGACACAACTGAGGAGCAACCACAACCAACGAGTGCGAAAAGCACGAGCCTTGACTGGGTGCCCCGCCATGAAAGATCAGAACGATTAATAATTTGGGGAGGCATCTAGCGCCATCAAAGAGCAAGGATGAACCAAGACATCACCAAGAGCACGACGCTCGCCGCAATACATCGGCCGCCAAGGGAGAGTCTTGAGCATGCATAGCGAGACACCTTCACGAGGGGGAAACAGATGGCCGCCCTGCGGCGCCAAAGGCACCGCCACCAAACCCCAGAAAACACCACCAAACAACCACCGTCGACTCCAAGCCAGTCGCACCACCACCACCACCATTGGACCCTCCGACTGTTCCCAACTTGGCCACACCACCACCACCACCAAACGCTGCACCCTCAACCACACGCAGGCACAGAAGCCGCCGTTTGGGTCTCCAAGATGACGCCTCCAGGGAGGTAGTGCCGACAAGGACACAAGACCGTCATCCGATCCGACAAGCCAGATCTTAGGTTTTCACCCGGATACCACAAAACAAAGTACTGCAGGTGCTGGAGCTCCACAACGACACCTCCTACGAGGAAAACGATGTCCACAGACACCATTGCCGCCGACATCGACATAGTCGATGCAAGGTTCTCACCCGGAGTTTGAGCACATACTTACAGCAAGACGACAGCTGGCCACCACCATTGGGCCCCTCCGAGACGAAGAAGCACATGAATCGTCGCAGCCAACCGCACCCCCGCGGAGACCGCATACGGCCAAACATCAGCACTAGGCACTGGAACCACCAATGGTCGTCCGAACGCAGGGCCACCGGACGCAGCGCGAGCCGCCGAACCTAACCGAGCACCATGCTGGCGAGGAGCAGAGGAGCGCTGCCCGAAGCCAGGAACCACCATGGTCCCGGGTTGCAGCCAAACATCAGGAGCACTAACACACCCCACGCGCGCCACCGTGCACCTGCCGGAGACCAGATCCGAAATGCCATAGCACTGACCAAAGGCGGGGGAGATCGAAAACCGGCACATCAGTCCACCAAGCGCCACCAATAGCACCCACCGCCACCAGCCTCCACCACTCCCGCCTCCACCACCCAGCAACACCACCTCCCCGGCTGACCCCACCTGGCGGCCCAGCCAACACCGGCCGGATCTGGGAAGGTAGCCCCAGATCCGCCCCCGCCCTAGACCAGCAGCGCCCGAGCAAGCAGCGACGGGCCGCCGCACACAGGGGGGCCGGGGCTGGCCGGCAGGGACACCGGGACGACGCCGACGAGCGCTGCCTCCGCCCGCCTCCGAGGCCGGGCGCCCGATCCAATCTGACGTAGCCTGTCGTCCCTCCTCTGACGAAATGGTGGTCGCACGGTGGAGGAGAAGCGCCTCGCCGCCACCATCCCCGGAGTGCG